AAAATCTGGTCCGGATGACCGAGATCGTTAAGGCAGTAGTGCCGTGGCGATCTACTCGTAGGATCGAAGGATCACGGGCTCGAGTCCCGCCCCGGGCATAGGTCTGGCATAGGTGTATTTGTGTTCGTCCTTTCATCATATCATGTTATCTTCAGTTACCATATCGTTAAATTCAATAGTGGTCGCTAGAGATCTAGATGTTAATGCAACCTTAAATAACCAAAATACAAAAGAACACATTTTGTTTCGTTTCGAAACATCTTTTGCAACAAAATTCATATCCTTTGCAGAAGTATTGTTATTAGGATTATAATCGTAATTATTCGTATCGCAGTAATGGAGACAAAAAAGACAAAAGGAGCCTTTTGCAAGTCCTCTACACAGGATAGTTTAATATCCAATCCGAATACCCGCGCCATTTTCTTCCCAAACACAACGCATGCGCAACCTTAGCGTAGCGTTTCCTACCACCGCGCCGTCTTGAGAGTACGGAGGAGGCAACCAACATTTTTTCAAACATTATAATACAATATTAGTTGATAACATTATCTCCTACGTGTAACGTACGGTGCAGAAAGTACTTTTTTCTTTATGAAACTTAATACATGATTGTGGAAACAATTCCAGGTTCTTTCTGACACTGAATATTGAAACTAGATAAAGGCAAAAAGTGTACGCCGAATAGTTTCAGTGTTTAATTGACTCGTATCAATCTCACGGCACTCTTTGAATTAATATTAACGTTAGATGATTAAAAAAAGAAAAATAATAATCCTGCTACTTTAAAACTTCAATTTTTGGTATCGAATAACAAGTGGTGTCCTCAAACGAACGAATTGTTTTAGGACACCACATGTTACGTGCTCCGTGAACATTTACTTGCCACCAAGTATATATTTTCGAGACTTATTCATACAAAATTGCACAGAAATCTAAAAAAAGCAGCTAAATCAATTACGAAGCTAAGTTGTGGGTAGATTTACCAGTCAAGAAATAGTTATTTTTACTTAGACGTAACAACAGGTCTCTTCTAGATAATTTTCCTAAACCATGCAAATGCACCCGAATCAATTTAACACTTACCAAACCACGGATGAATAAATGGTGTTAATCTGTGACCAAATGCTGATGACTTCTTTGAGGCTTGAAGCCAAGGCAACATTATTTTCTTCCACATGACAATAGAAGTATTGACTATCACTGCTGCAAAAATATGACGAACGTAAGTAACCCACCCCAAATTCTTGACTGCATAAGCACTACGGATGCACTTTGTCTACTGATGGCTTCCTTCAAAACTATCTTGTTCAGTTTCCCTGGTCCTTTGAGCAAATGCTGAAATGGGCCCTTGTTTGCTCCTGAACAGTAATGTAACTTCGCTCTCTCCACCCAAGGCATCATATTGACTCGTCATACACGATTGTAATTGTATATGTGACTCAATAAATATTATTATTATTATTATTATTATTATTATTATTATTATTATTATTATTATTATTATTATTATTACCTACCGATCTAGTAGCCCGCCTACCTGCGAGCGTGTCCCCACCCCTGAACCTTTACTATCATTACTTCCTGGTGACGGACCAGTAGGTGCGCAAAGATTGCTAGATGACGAGAGAGGAAGGGGCGGTCCATGAAAATTCTAGATCAAATGTACACTTTTAAGAAATTTTAACTACTAAATAAGGGACGCGTTACGATATTTTTTATTCATTTACCGAACAAATTATTGACTTCGTGCGTTTGTGCAATTTTGTGGAAAATAATAATTTTCAGAATTTTTTAACCTTACTATTTCTTAATAGGCACATTACATGCTATTTTCAGTTGTCTTAATAAATAAATTTTAATAAAATTTCTCATGAAATACAAATAAGCTCTTTTTCTTTGCATAGTTTTCATTGAAAAATAAAATAATAAAATTACTCAAAACTGCAGCAATTCTTTACTTTATTTTTCTGAGACACTTCATTACACTCGACGAAGATGACAACCTGTTATGCTTGTATCCATAAATCATTCCGTTTTATCTGATTTCTGAACATTTAGGTAGGTACAACTACAGGAAGGAAATGGTGTGTTTATAAAATATATTAAAATGTAATACATAAAATATTTGGAAAAAGTAAGCAATCTTTATTTTCTCTAACTTTTCCCTACATCAGAAAATGTCATTGTTTCTGTGCCGAGAAAGTATGAACTTGAAAAATTGCGAGAAATACGCGACATCTTATAAAACATTTATTAAAATTTTCAAGCTACAGCATTTCATCACTATAAAGCCCAAAGATAATGTTGACAATCCTACATTAATTAGCCTACATTTATTTTCTATTTTATTATGAAATTATCATGGAAATGCTATTCATTGTGCGATTTTCTTAAAATGGCTCCAAATTGTTAAAAAAAATTGCCAATGATGACAATGTTTTACTGTTCTTTAATATTCTTACAATAATATTTCCTTTCTACTACTACGAAACCGAAAAATTAATAATGATTTTAAAAAAATGTACTTTTGGCGGCAATAGATGGCAGCTGGCAAGAGAATGTGGCAAGCCCGAATATCTAACTGATACCAAAGGAAATAGAAACTTACACGGGAAAGTCTGTGCCATTCTGAAGCACCACTAGTTTCGTTATCATGACCCGGCAGTGAATTTTTGTATACAGATAATCCGCCGTTTTCGCGCAGCATTACTTAACTTTCCATATACTACGTATATTACTCCGTACATGCTACTTGTCTTACTCCTTAAATCCTATTTGTCTAGCAGTTAAAAGGATCGATGGGAGGTTAAAAAAACTGACAGATTCTTAGGAGAAAATCAATTGTGCAAAAAATCGTCTGAACGGTATGGGTAGTAGCGGTCACCACATTTGGACGGGAAGACCGACGAGATGTTTTGCCGACAATCAATTTTTCGCTATCAACGATCCGCAACGCAATATATACTCTCTGATCCGCAACACGTGTATTCCGACTACACGTGCTGGAGGACGTAACGTACTCCATTATAGGAACAAAATGGGTCCATTGTTTATTCCAGGGTCCGACAACACGAGATTGTTTGTTTGCTTGTTTTTTAAGAAAAATTACCGAATTGCCGCAGCATTAGAGTATTGTCTCTTTACTACGTAAATACTTATGGTCAGAATATAAAACGACTGTATTGTAAAATATTAACGTAGTGAGATAGATATGTAAAAAAATAAAGGGGAGATGTTTTGAAAAAATTAAAATAACTCATCAAAATTTCATCATATTATTCGGTGCATTTAGTTCTTTTCTTCATACCAAATCTGTAGAGTAAAATTATGGACCCTGTTCTGAGAAAATCTTGTTTTAAATGTTGCTTTATTTAACCCAAAATTGTGCACATGCCATCATTATATGGGTAATTTAATATATAATCTTACAAGAAATTTAAAGCAAAAACTATACCCAATTTAGAGAAAAATTAAATGTCCTAGGGGTTTCATGTAATTACGCGAAAAGTACTCAAATTTTCGTAAAATCGTATCTTTATTTAAAAATATTTAAAAAAAATATTTTTAGGAGAAGAATTTCATTAAGGAAAACTCTCTATCTTCATTATTGTAGAGCTAGGAACACTCCGAAAAAAATTGAAGATTTTAACTTTTCGAAAAATATGACTTTTTAACAAAATGAGACTTACACCATTCTCTTAAACATCCTTCGTACTATCCAACAACGAAATTTAATAAAAAATGATGCAGCTATTTAAAATAAAAATTGAAAATGTTTCAGGGGCTTCATGTGAAGTACCCCCAAAAATTAAAACATCGTTTTCAAATTCAAGAGGCTGCTACATCAGCAAGATCGATTTAGGAAGAGCAATGTTGGAGAAAATCGTCTAAACGGATTAACCGCTAGTGTTGTTCACAGGCGAACAGATACGTTTTTCCGACATTCTATTTTTCGGTATCAAGGGCCCGCCAAACATGGGTTCTGGCCACACCACGGGAGAGAGGATTTTTATTTCTAAATTTAGCAACTAGATTTATCTACTTTTCGTTACCAGGGCCCTGTAATAAGAGTTTTTCTTCCGAAAATTCGCCGTTATTTCCCGCAGCATTACACAACTTTCTCTCTACTCCATAGCGAGAAAGTAAAAAACAACAACGACAGAAAAATACAAAATACAACACCTCAACTATATCATACGTCATCGTATGCCTGTGTCAGGAGGCGGCCGACAGGATTTCACAAAATATGTTTCAAGCCTCTTCTACGTTTTCTTTTTATTATATTTTTCTCTTTTCTTCTTATTCTTTTTAGATATTTTCTTTCTCTTATTAAGTACTTATTAATCGCGCCCTCTCCTGGCGCATGTAAGCGATCCATTCCCCAATCCGTTTGACTGATGTCGCAACCCCTGTAATTTGAAACCTATATTTTAATTTGTGAGGGTATTTTATACGTAACACCTGCGACATTTTTCAAATAATTTGATTGATATTTTGAAAATTATTTTTAAAAAATGACTTCATCATTTTTTATTATTGTTTTTGTTAGATACTGTGAAGGACGTTTAAGATAATGGTGCAGACTACATGTTCGTTGAAATTCGTTCTAACTTCTGGTTCAATTTGAGGTGAAAAACTGATTTTTTTTAAATTGCAAAAGTTCAAAATTTGTAGGAGTCTTCCTACTACTAAAATATTAAAGATTTTCCCTTAATTAAATCTATTCTTGAAAGATATATTTTAAAGTAAGACAGAAATTAAATAATTCTGCCAAGAACGCCCCCCCCCCCAACAGCTATCGCTACACTTCATAGTTCACGAGCTTGCAAGATTTTCATAGAATTATTTGGCTCACCTTTTGCATTTGATCTTTATTGAAGGAATAAAATCAATAAGAAGTACGTGGTTTTAATAAATGAACTATCACTCACGAGTGCCTTCGAATAGACTATAGTCAGATGATCTAGGCGTGTGAGCCAATTTTTGTTAATTCTTTTTGTTCAATATTATTTGAGACGAATGAAAACAAAATAAAGAAGGAACATTTGTGGATGATTATTAACAGTTAAGTAAAAATAAAATGCATATATGGCTTCGAGTTTTTACCAAATAGGAGCCATATTTCGCTCTGGCAGGAGGCATGTAATGTTCACTAAATTCAAGGAACGAATGGGATCTCTTGACTTAACCATCATGAAAATGTTATTTTATAATCTTGTCAGAATATTTTCAGACTCGAACCGACCGGGTTCTGTCTATCTCGCAGTCGCCCGCTATTCTCAATGGTTCTGTGTTAGTAGTAGCCAGTCAGTCTTGAGAATGTTATCTATGCAACTTGTAGCAGGTTAAACAACTGCTGCGAGTGTTATAAGGATGAGGCCAGCAATTTAAAAACAATAATTTTGAGTTAGAACATTAAACTGAAATTAATAAAATGCATTTTAAGTTCAAAATTATCCGAAAAATTATTGAAAATAAAGGAATTTTCAATAAAGTCAATATATTTTTTCAGGTTAAGGATTGCAGCAGTTGACAATGAATATTATACAGTCATTTGTTCCATGTCCGTCTAGGACGTGAACAAGGGCAGTGAATGACTGCTTGAACTGGTATTGCGGGCTGGAAACGAACGAAAATCATCATGCAGTGTAACGTTTTGAGCCGCGTTACATTAACATTTAAGGTGACTTTAAAAGACAATTTTTAAAATATTCGTAGATACTTAATTTTTGTTTTCAATTTTTGAAGATGAAAAGTTTAACATGAAATGAAGCCCAAACTTAAAATAGTATTTCTTCAGTATCCTTATTAGTGAAGAATTAGTACTTTGTACTTGTTATGTTTTCTTGTTTGTAAAAAGCTTTTTTTTTAGCCATCATGTGTTCAACGACTCCCTGCACTTACCTCATCTACACACCGAAGATCTTATTCAAGTGGACAAGAAGCTGATGTAGTAGTTATTGGTTCTGGGCCGGGTGGTTATGTAGCTGCCATCAAGGCAGCTCAGTTGGGCATGAAGGTGAGATAAATAGCAATAGATACCTTACATCTGTGTGATAACCCTATCAGCTTTTTGTAAGTTATGAGCGAACTTCTGGTCCAATTTGAGATGAAAAACTTGTTCTATGTTGTCAGTAAAGATGCTTCTCTATCTGTTTACTATGTATATCTGGTCTAGATGTTAGTTTTAATGTGCTAAATACAGAGAATAATTTTTGTTCTGGACTCAATGTCTTCCTTCTAACATTAACACCAACCTTGCAGCTTATGGGTTGCCCAGTTTGCACAGAATGATTCACAATTAGAGAGTATCTGCATTTTAATGAATTTTGGGAGCATGAAAAAATCTCATAGTGTTATTTAAAGTTAATTATAATCTGTTATTAATTATTGATCTGTAAAAGATAGATTCCTTTATTTCTTTTTTAAATATACACTAGTTGGAGTCATTCTATGCTTTGTAATTCATTGTTTTAAAAATGAAAATTGCTGCATACTGAACCCTTAACAACTTAAAATAGGGAGACCCTCAACATGGCTTTCTGTGTTGGAGTAATGTCTAAGAGTTCCGGATACTGTGTGTGAGAAGGCATTGAAATATTGCAAAGATTTTATTAAGTGATGTGATTAAATTGCATGTAATATCTAATAGTTTAATTTTGAGATTATTGTGAAGGACTGAGTACATGCGTAAATATGTAATCTATGATGTATCAAAAACAATGTAATTTCGTAATGATTTGAAATTCATTTTGGTTTTAAAAGTAGTAGAACTACATACGTTTCACTTGTTTGAAAATATAAAGTTTTGCTTCTATTGCAAATCATACCCTTCAGTTTTTAAAATTTCTTACATTTCTTGTATGTTGCAATTTTTCTCTCTTAATATAGCCTCGAATGAAATGACTAACTGAGTTTCTTGTCTTTATCATATGTTACACAAATACCTTGCGTAAGTGCAAGAAAGTATGTTGTGATTGAAAATAAATTAAAACGTAAAAATAAATAGAAAGAATTTTTAATAATTTTGAGGTTTTATTAATAGAGAAAATTTGGAGAAATTATATATGTAACTGCTTTTGGTTAAACAAATGAAATGACTTGTACTTGTGGTAGAAATGAATGCAATTGTAGAATGAATTTATTGTAACCGAAAGCCTTTAATAATATAAAATTATTGTACCTGTTCCTTGGTATTTGAAAATTTTCTTTCCAACTGAACACTTATGAAATAAAATTTGTGAACAATGTCATTTTCTTGCTGATATTAATGAGAAACATATTTTTATTATAAAATTTTAGATAACATGAAAACCACTTAAAACAATGTCAAAGTAAACCGGTATTCTTTAAATATTTTTCTGATAAGTTTTTTTTACAAATTAATTGCTTTTCTGGCAGAATCGACTGATTTTTGTAACAATTAAAACTTCTTTTTAATTTTATCAGACTGTTTGTATTGAAAAAGAGCCAACGCTTGGTGGTACTTGCTTGAATGTTGGCTGTATTCCTTCCAAAGCTCTCCTAAATAATTCACATTATTATCATATGGCACACTCACCGGATTTTGCCAAGAGAGGAATAGAGGGTAGGTAATTGGGGCGGCATACATTTTTTCTCTTTGAAAATACCAAAAGAAATTTATATGTTGTTAATATTTTGTTTGTTTGTTTTTTTCATTTATAGTTTCTGGTGTGAAATTAAATCTTGATAATTTGATGGAATCCAAAAAAACAGCAGTAAAAGCTCTTACAGGAGGCATAGTTACATTATTTAAAAATAACAAGGTGGGTGTATGTATATCTTGAAATTTTTATTTATAAATTTGCAGAGTTACTTACTTTTGTTTTTGATAGGTGACGCTCATTAAGGGTCATGGAAAAATCACTGGACCAAATGAGGTAACAGCTTTGCAAGAAGGAGGCAAAACTGAAAAAGTAAAAACTAAAAATATTGTTATTGCAACGGGTTCTGAAGTGACTCCCTTCCCTGGTATTGAGGTAAGTATTTAAATGAATAAAAATAAAGTTATTTTTTGACATAAAATTTCTTACGAAGTTATTGTTTCACAGATTGATGAACAAACCATTGTGTCATCAACTGGTGCTCTTTCACTCTCTAAAGTTCCAGAGAGGCTGATTGTTATTGGGGCAGGAGTTATTGGCTTAGAGCTGGTAAGAAGTGTTATGAGAATTATCATTTTCCCAACTATGATTTTTAAACTTTCACTTTGGTAAACACCTCAAGAAAACATTTTAGTCTTAAGGTTTGGGCAAGCTCAACATACTCTGATCTGTTATTTGAATGAGGAAGTATTTCTTATTAAAATTACTTCATAATTATCAAATTGTACATAGGTTGCCTAATTCAATCTTGGCTGTCTTCCTTTAATTAAAATTATTTTTAGGCAGCCACTAGTAATCGCTAAGGGCACGCAAAGTATGCTACTAGTTCAATGCTAGCACAGGTGCTAAAATTTAGACGTTGCTCAAATGTTGACAAAAAACTGTAAATGCAACAAAGAAAAAACAAAATAGTACTTTTGTCTTATTATCTACAACTGATCATAATGTAACACACTACCCTATTTATTGATTTGTATACTTATATTAAAATAAAAGGAAAGTCAGTTAAGGCTATTTAAAGAATAGTGTACGGCACACTTGGTAAAAGATATTTTGTTTTGCTCATGGGATTGCACTTCTTGGCCAATCTGTCTTGTCTCCACATTTTGTACTGGCAAAATAAAATTTCTTTTTTAACATGTGTATCATAAATAACTATTTTTAGTATGCAAAGAATGTGTTATTTGTTTCTTATTTTAGAGACAGATAATTTTTTAATAGTATTTAAATATTTATTAATTTATATTTTTTATTTTATATTATGAAATAATAAATAATATAATAGCAAATTTATATTATTTTAATTACAAATAATATATATTTGTATATTATATGTTTTACGTTTACTATTCACTCCAAAAAACACTCTTGCCGGTAGAGTTTTGTTTCTCTATTACATGGAGCAAGGCCGCACTCATTCGAGTTCTGCCTCCTGCACTGTTGCTAGGTTGTCCTTTTCTGTGGTGTAGGGGAGCGGTGCGAAATTGATAAAGATGTTTCTGTGAAAATATGAATATATTGAAACCAATGTTTTTATGTTTTCAATGTTTTGTTTGCTGATGAAAGATGCCCATAATCACAATTTTGTAAAAGTGAAAATAAGAATTAATAACTGATGGTACCAACTTCTATTTCTATTTGATCGAAACAAAGGTCTGTTTGTTCGAACTTCATCGAGCAGACTACCATCCCTTGCTTCAGATGATCCTGATAGCCTGGTATTTCCTTTATCTTTCCTGTATTTCGTACATGGAGAGATGTATAAATTTGTTTTCAGTTAAATTTTAATTATAAATTATTAAGCATGTACATTGTCAAATAAAGTTTTGTTGTGCATTATTTTAATGCCAGAAGTTGCTAAACTAACTATAAAACATCGATGGTTTTTGGTCAATGTATAATTAGCATCAATGTTTGGCTATTATTAACTTCAATGATTTGTCGATGTCGCATCACTAGTATAGGTAGTATTTCGCACACATGAATTTCACTCTCTTAATCAAGTATTTGTGCTTTGGAGTGTGGCAATCGTGAGTCTTCCCCATTTTTACGTGGTAAGCTAATTCCATTTTCTTCAAAAAATATTATCAACTTTTTGATTCATAATGTAATGAAATAACAGATGAAGGTAAATTTCAAAAAAATCATTTATTTATTTTTAATTAACAGTAGCTTGGCTGAGATACAATTAGGCAATTATGCGTGATTTGTTTATATATTAATTTTTAAAAGAAAACCCTCTTAATCAAATAACAGATGAAGAAACCTATTATTTAGTCTTGTTGTATATGTGGGCATGATTTATGAATTTAATAACAAGTTTTGGTAGATCATAATATTATTTATTAATTAACTAAACAGGAAAACTTCAAAAGATTTTTTAAAAGTTATGCAAATTATTAAAGTTTACAAAATGTAAATTCAGTTTACAAAATTAAC